GTTGTTTCTCATCAGTGATGTTCACAGAGTCTTAAAAATCTTGAGGGCTTTTTTAATGTTTACTATATGGGAAAATGCTGGATATAAAATACTTTCTATTAGATGAATATTTTAACACTATTACAATTTTTTTCCTTAAATACATTCATAAAAAAGTATTAACCCATTTTATAATACAAAAGGTGAGCAACACAATTTTATTGTGTTAATCTAGAACAAATAAAAAAATGAGACACATTTCTACTTCTGTAACTGGGATTTTTACACTCTTGCATCTTGTCAGAGAGCTTCTCCACTCAAATTCTAAGACTTTTAAAAACATTCTGCTTTTCTTTACAGCCTGGAAAGAATCCTTTCTCTATAAAACTTGCTGCTAAAAAAGTTGCTGCTTTCTTTGGTTGCTTGTGGTTTGGTTTTGAATGCAGTTTTTAACGGACATGTCCAGTTAAGCATATACAGAAAAAAGAATCTGGATAAGCAAGAAAACTGTGGAATTTGGATCCAGCAACTGGTACCTTCTTAGAGAAGGTATTTTTGATTATTTTAGCTAACTCGATAGTGTTTAGAATATGAATCCAACTGTACGAAGAAAGAGTACGAGCATTAAACAAAAAAGTGCTAGTTTCCACTAGCGTAAACTACCAGATAACATGCCTAGAAGGCAACTACTGAGGCACCATATTTAAAACCCAGAAAATAAGATTAGTAAATTAAACATATCTGAAAAAAGAATTCTGTAACTTCAAATTGATAGTTTCTATGAACATCCTACAGAAAAATATAATTTTAATTTCAGTAACAAAAATATTAAGAATACAACTACATTAATTTCATATTAGGCAAAGTACAAACAGATTATTGCAAAAAGCACATTCTGAGAAGAATGAGCACTAAATTCCCTGTTAAGTAATGTAAAATTCACACCAAAATTGTTTTATATCCAAAGTATATCAAAGTTCACAGAATTGTCAAGGTCGGAAGGGACCCCTGGAGGCCATCTGGTCCAACCCTCTGTATTAAGCAGGGCATTCTACAGTCGGTTACCCAGGACCACGTCCAGATGGCTTTTGAGTACCTCCAAGGGTAGAGAGTCCACAACCTCCTTGGGCAAAGTGTGCCAGTGCTGTCACTCTCACACTATAAAAAAAATAAAAGAGGGGAAAAAAGAAGATTAAATAAAAAGAGTGTTTCCTGATGTTCAGAGGGAACCTGGGAACCTCCTGTGTTTCAGGTTGTGCCCATTGTCTCTGGTCCTGTCACCGCAAAGAGCCTGGTTCCATCCTCTTTGCACCCTCCCTTCAGGTATTTCTATACATTGATGTATATACCACACTCTTCTCTTTAAATGTGTCACATTAGAAAAAGTGATACAGGTACTTGCTAAAGCATTTGTCATTTGCTAAAGCATTTGTTTTTCAGGGGTGCCTCCAAATACCGTATTCAAAGAACTACAGCTTAAAGGGTTTATCTATAAATACAAATTACATAGATATACACACATGTAAGTATATATATACACACAGGCACAATACACACATGTGCACATACTATTGAGAAGACACCCTCAATGGACTGATAGGGGTTACCGAAGGTTTTTGGGTACAGAGCAGTCAGGTCATTTAATGGTTAATCAGAGATCCAGAAGAAGTAGTAACCTGAGAAATATGTACAGTCATTTAGAGTAGTTAAGGCCAAAGAAAACAAAACCACTTCAAAGCAACCTAATATAATTAGGGATACAGAAACCAAGCAAGAAGTCAAAACACTCAATTCTAAAAATGTCAAGCAGGACAGAAAAACAGCCTGAGACCTATAAATGTTCAGGTTCTAAATTAAGTACAATCATTCACAAAAAAAATCTAGTATTGCAATAGATGTAGCTAAAATAAAACCATTTTAAAATAAAACTGTCATTTAATTAGCAATGAGACAAATAACAGAACATTACTGACATACTTGTACCCTAATGAGTGGTACACCCACCCTCATTTGGGATGTATGCGTGTGGTTCTCACTACCCCACCACAACAACCTGGTGTACAAGCAGGGGAAGTAGTAAAGCCTAGTTAATGGATTTCTGTTTGTTACCTCTATTCTTCCTCTCCTTTCACCCTCCACTTCAATCACTGCAACTTTTTTCCCTACCAAACCATAGCACATACTGTCCCTATCCCGAAGACACAGAGATCCACAGCAGCTCATTGGTCAAAGAGCACATTGCTGCTCAAAACCCACTTTGCCATCACAGAGGAAATTAATTTTGTGTCCTCTACATGCTTTCTTGAACGTTACCTTTGTACAAGTTATGTGTAATTTAATAACGGTTACAAACGATGGAGGTAACGCGAGGATGGGAGAAGAACACGCACATGAGACTTCTTCCCTTCGATGACCCAGTTAACAAGTCATTCAATTGTTACAGCAACTGCAATTAGGAAACAGAAAAATTCCATCCTAAGGGCTCCATACAAAAGAGTCTCATTATGCCCTTTAGCGCATTCAAAAGGTCTTTATTTTGTAGGACTCATATTCAGGGATCAAGCATTTCTATTTATCCTGTCTTCTATGATACAGGCCTTTTGGAAATTCTGAAAAGCATCAAGGTTATTCTAAAGCAGCAACTTAAAGAAAAATCATAAGACTCCTTACAGAATACTCCATCATAAAAAATCACAAGAAGCAGCTTGAGTGTTTACAGCTTGAATAATAAACACAAGTTGCTCCATGAACAGAAACCAGCTTTTGTTAGTTCTCGTTCAAGTGTCCTGTCTCCTAGTCTCTCCTCAAGGCAGTAACGTCAGCTCCTCTTGGGGGACTCTGGGGTAAAAAACAAAACAAAAGAATAAAACCCCACAACTGCAGCAGAACTTGCCCCAACAATCTGGAAAATTTGCCCATGCCAGCAGGGTGATTATACGGTTTTGACTTGCAGCAACTCTGCCTTACCTTCACAGAGCACTGATTCTCCTCTGTGGAGTCACCAGTTTGCTTGAAACCAGTAAGAATTTGACTACCTTTGAGCCTCCCTCTTCCTGTTTAATTTTGGCTTATACTGGCTGGTAAATTTAGAAGTTATTTTTGGAGACAGGGGAAGAAGAGGCCTGACACTCTGCATAGGTTTCATTGCCATAGAAACCAAGCTAAAAACATTCAGAAGGGAACATAAAACGTCTGTTTCAAGGCATTACTTATATATGCTATGTACTTAAATGTTACCTGAAAGAGCATTTAGCATTAAAAGATAGAAATTATATTGAAGATTATTTTTTTTTCAATAGTAAGATTATTTTGCCTGCTTTTTTAATTAAAGGATTCAGGAGAACTCACAGTTCATCATTCCAGCCCCTTCCCAAGCCCCCAGTGAACCACTATATGGAAGTAAGCAATACAGCTTCTTTTACCAAGATTATGGTCAAAACAATTGTCAGGACCTAAATGCCTCTATGCAAACGCACGTAGCATGGGGAATAAACAAGAGGAGTTGGACACATGTGCACACCTGCAGGGCTGTGATCTCATCGGCATCATCGAGACGCGGTGGGATGGCTCCTATGACTGGAGTGTTGGAATAGAAGGATACAGGCTCTTTAGAATGGACACCCAGGAGGCACGAGGAGGGGTTGTCACCCTCCATGTCAATGATCAGCTGGAGTGTGTGGAGCTCTGCCTGGGGATGGATGAGGAGCCGACCGAGAGCCTATGGGTCAGGGGGACATTACAATAGGAGTCTGCTACAGGCCACCCGACCAGGAAGACCGAGCAGATATAGGAGCAACCTCATGTTCACAAGCCCTAGTCCTCATGGGGGACTCCTCATGGGGGACTTCTCTGTTGGAGGGACAACACAGCGGGGCATAAGCAATCCAGGAGGTTCCTGGAATGAGTTGATGATGACTTCCTTCTCCAAGTGACAGAGGAGCCAACGAGGAAATGTGCCATGCTGGACCTTGTTCTCACCAACATGGAGGGGCTCATGGGGAATGTGAAGCTCAATGGCAGCCTTGGCTGCAGTGACCACGAAATGGTGGAGTTCAAGATCCTCAGGGCAGCGAGGAGGGCACACAGCAAGCTCACTACCCTGGACTTCAAGAGAGCAGAGTTTGGCCTCTTCAGGGATCTGCTTGGTAGAGTACCATGAGATAAACCCTTGGAAGTAACAGGGGCCCAAGACAGCTGATTAGTATTTAAGGATCACCTCCTCCAAGCTCAGGAGCAATGCATCCCAACAAAGAGGAAGTCAGGCAAAAACACCCAGAGGCCTGCATGGATGATCAGGGAGCTCCTGGGCAAACTAAAACACAGAAAGGAAGCCTACAGAGGGTGGAAGCAAGGGCAGGTAACATGGGTGGAATACATACAGAGAAATTGTCCCAGCAGTTAGGGATCAGGTTAGGAAAGCTAAAGCCCTAATAGAATTAAATCCAGCCAGGGGTGTCAAGGGCAAGAAGAAAAGCTCCTATAGGTACCTCAGTGATAAAAGGAAGACTAGGGAAAATGTGGGCCCCCTCCAGAATTAAAAAAAAAAGACCTGGTTACCCAGGATATGTCGAAGGCTACCTCAGTGACTCAAATTTTTTGCCTTAGTCTTCACCAGGACGTGCACTAGCAACACTGGCCCTGTTTAAACACTTTTGCCAGCAACACGGACAGTGGGATCAAGTGCACCCTCAGCAAGTTTGCTGATGACACCAAGCTGTGTGGTGGGGTCGACATGCTGGAGGGAAGAGATGCCATCCAGAGGGACCTTGACAGGCTGGAGA